TTTTTTTTTTACTTTTAAAATTGTAAAAATGCAGAAAGTTTTCTGTTAGGGGTAGGGGTGGGTTTAGGTTAAAAAGTGTATAACTATCTGTATATAAAAACAATAGAAGTCTATGTAATGTCCCCATTTAGATAGCTAAGTAAACGTGTGTGTGTGTGTGTGTGTGTGTGTGTGTGTGTGTGTGTGTGTGTGTGTGTGTGTGTGTAAAATAGTATATCAGTCTGGCGAGTAAACAAAAAAAAATTACTAGCCGATGGCGATTATATTGCCAAGGTGTGCGTAGAGGGTTGGTAGGGTAAACATTTGAATTGGTATGTCAAATTAAGGCGAAAATACACAAAAACGCCCCTGAGCGTAAGTAGTTTTGAATCAAATGTGCTAATCGTTAGGCCGCAGCTCTGAGAAATTAAACTAAAATGCATTGAAAGCAGAAATCCACTGGTCTGCTGCCATTCTAGCATTGCTTCAGCATCAGAGTTTTCTGGCTGCAAGAGCACTTGAGCTTGGTTTCACTGTTTGGCTGCATTTTTTTAGGCCGGTTCTCATGGCCAAAATTGACAAGAACCTTCCTGGACACCGTAGTTCTGTTTTGTTTACAGGACATTAGGGGAGGAACAGTATCCAGGGGAATTAATGAGGAGAAGTGTGAGAGCGGACTATTTTCAGAGAGCTTATCTGAAGGGCAGAGCAGGACATGGTGTAGTCTCAACCCCTGCATTCCTGTCACATGATTTCAGGCCGCGTCCCCCTCCTCTAAACACCCAGCATTACTGAACACTCTTACAGGAGACACTGAGAGGATGCAGCTTGTGTGTGTGTGGTATTTACACGTCATCGCTGGCTCCAGGTGTGTAACTGGGGTGATGAATGTGTAAAGAGTGAGATGGCTACAGTAAACACAGCTGTTGAAACACACAGCACTAACTGCCCTTCCCAAAGTCCAGTTCTCGCCATGCCGACTATCTTACAGCGTTATCCTGACCCGTTTGTGCACATACTAGGATTGGGAATCATTACCCTTTTAACATAATGATTCCAGTTCCTTGGCGATTCCTTTGACGCTTCTCTTATTGATTATTTGGGAGAGAATAGACAATAATTTGAAAGTAATTCAGTTTGCATTTATTGATCTTTAGCAGCAGTTTTTAAAACATAAGTGGTGTCGTAATCAGGATTACAGCTTTAAGTGAAGCTCAATCCCACCTGGGCTTCATCTGCAAGTAGCAATATATAAAATGTACTGATTCTTTACTACTTTGTTTTACGCAACCATATACAATATATACATTTTTTTTTACATGTGATGTAAGAACATGTCATCTTCACTTATGAAACGGCATTTTTTTTTAGATGTACGCTTCATATTTTCAGATTTTGTGTTCAGTTTTTTCAACAGAGGAAGAAAAGTTTACAATTTCTCCCATCAAGCTAATTATTAATTGGTATGTGCTTAGTTGGTTACTAGTTATTTGTTTTTATTTTTATTTTAAATAGTAAAAACTACCCAGCACCTTGGAAAAATATATAAAAAATATCCCAATAAAATGACCCAGCAGGCTGAACCCAGCATTTGGGTTAAAAAAAAATAACCCAGCATTTTTTTTTTAGAGTGTAGTAATAATAATAATGCATAGTAATGATAAAATGATAACAAATAATATCTGCTTCCGACTTCACATATGTATATGTATTTCTGTACATAAGCTCATCAATTTTGATCTGTTTCATTGTTTATTCTAAGACAAAGTTTTAAACCGTAGCATCAAGTGAATTGTTAACTGGTGTTTGATTAGTTGGTTGAATTAACATTTTTTTCTAAAAGGTACAAATACTTTTGGTTAGTATGTCTATCCATGCCATTCAACACTAGTGGAAAAGAATGTGAAAATTTTGCAGACGTTGAAGGTGCTTAAGAACTTTACAGCTTTTTAGGGTCTAAATTGCCTGATAATCCTGCCATTGCAGCAGTTTGACTGTGCAAAAAAAGGTTTCCAAGCAATAGAAAAGAAGGTCATTGAGTTTGTTTAGTATTCTGTTAAATCTTGAGCCATTTCCGGTACTGAGAACTGTAGTGTGTGTTGTTAATGGAGAGTAGAACGTCTTGCAGACTGCCAGTGGAGATGGCTGCATGCTCTAGTCATCTGTAGACCATCTGACCGTTTTAAACCGTAGCATCAAGTGAATTGTTAACTGGTGTTTGATTAGTTGGTTGAATTAACATTTTTTTCTAAAAGGTACAAATACTTTTGGTTAGTATGTCTATCCATGCCATTCAACACTAGTGGAAAAGAATGTGAAAATTTTGCAGACGTTGAAGGTGCTTAAGAACTTTACAGCTTTTTAGGGTCTAAATTGCCTGATAATCCTGCCATTGCAGCAGTTTGACTGTGCAAAAAAAGGTTTCCAAGCAATAGAAAAGAAGGTCATTGAGTTTGTTTAGTATTCTGTTAAATCTTGAGCCATTTCCGGTACTGAGAACTGTAGTGTGTGTTGTTAATGGAGAGTAGAACGTCTTGCAGACTGCCAGTGGAGATGGCTGCATGCTCTAGTCATCTGTAGACCATCTGACCCACACACACACACACACACACACACACGCTCACACACTCACACACTCACACCTGTGGGGCAGGTAATGTTTACAGATGTGCAGATGAGGGTGAAGTCATATTCTTGTGAGTCGCTTCTCTTTGAAGCACATCAAAGACGGCAAACACACACTCTTATGTGTGTTGTACACTCCTCCCTCTCATCACCCCAGTCCTCATCCTCCTCCTCAGAGTTACGAGCTTATAAAAACATTACACATGCTAAAGTGACCCCCAAAGGAGGCTTTGAAAGACATTTTAAACAAGTGCTCCCTCTTCAACTTTGACGTGTGTTCTCCTCTGAACTTGACTTGTAAAAACACAGATTGGCTTTTAAAGTGTAGCTGTGGTGATCTGATCAGATGATGAACTAGTACAGGTGGTGAGTCACTATGACATGTTCCTGTACAATTTATGGTTTATTATTATAATATATATATAATTTTATTTTTATTTTTTAATGTAAAAACTAGGTTTTTAATTGGGAATAATAGTTATTCTGGCAACTCACAAACTAGTTTATTTTGAAAATATGTACTTTTAGAAAGGTACAGTAAATGCTCTTCATATTAGATTTTCTCAGGTTTACAGCATCTTACTACAGGACTTCCCAATGCCTAAACAGACATTTTCCTTTCACTTTGATTGTAGGAGGGATGAAAGGCTGCATTGAATGAAGGAAGGAAGGAAAGAGGGAGGGAAAGAGGGAAAGCCCTTTATCTGAACTCAACTTATCATGCAATGGTGATTGTAGACGCAAGCAGTTAAAGAACAGTTTACTGGCTTAAAATGGATATACGCAAACATATTGAGGAGAGTTGAAATGTCTCTCCCTTTCTGTCTCCACTGGTGGGCACAATGTGGCAGCCGTCCTCCCTCTCTCGTAGTGTGTTGGTAAAACAGAGGTGCTCTATGCTGGAAAGCTTCCTCAGATTGGCCTAGATTGAAGTGGATCGGTTTCTGTCTGCCACGTTTAGGTCTGTTCGACTGTGGGGCCTGAGTTCAGGAATTTGTCATCTGCTTGAG